TTTTTTGAGGCGGAGTCTCGCTCTGTCGCCCAGGCTGGAGTGCAGTGGCGCGATCTCGGCTCACTGCAGCCTCGGCCTCCCGGGTTCACGCCATTCTCCCGCCTCAGCCTCTCTAAGATTAGGAAACTGAATCCCAGAGAACGGAAGTAAATTGCCCAGGGTGACACCGCGGATCAGTACCTACCAGAGCCTTTTCCATGACAGCAAGCCATATCCCCAAAACCTTTTTTTTTTTTTTTTTTTTTGAGACGGAGCCTCGCTCTGTCGCCCAGGCTGGAGTGCAGGGACGCGATCTCGGCTCACTGCAACCTCCGCCTCCTGGATTCAAGCGATCCTCCTGCCTCAGCCTCACTAGTAGCTGGGACTACAGGTGCACGACGCCAAGCCCGGCCAATTTTTGTATTTTTTGTAGAGACGGGTTTCACTAGGCTGGTCTCGAACTCCTGACCTCAAGTGATCCACCCGCCTCGGCCTCCCAAAGTGCTGGGATGACAGGCGTGAGCCACTGTGCCCGGCCGCCCCCTGACTTTTAAAAAAATACATACGATATAGTTGGAATCGTGTGGAAGGGAGTACATCAGGAGGTATATAAGTCGATTTGGGACGTGTAATCCCGGCTACTCGGGAGGCTGAGACGGGCGGATCGCTTGAACCCTTGAACCCGGGAGGCGGAGGCTGCAGTGAGCCGAGATCGCACCACTGCGCTCCAGCCCGGGAGTCTCCTACAGAGCGAGACTCCGCCTCAAAAAAAAAAAAGTCAATTTGGGAGTTTCTGTGTCACTGTGGATTCTTGAAAAAAAATACTGCTCTGGATCTCAGGTTGACATTTTAATTTCCCATCTTTAAAATTTAACTAGACCAGAAGACTGGTACTTGAACCTTTTTTTGAAGAACTGTGCAGAGGTGAAGCTCCCTTCCCCAAGGCTGCCTGCCTCCACCTGTTGCTCCTTCACAGCCCCAGAGGCCTTTAGAACACACCCATCACAGAATAGTTACCAATTATTCCTTAGTCTGAGCCGAAGGGATTGCAACAACCTCTAACAGAACTCCTTCAGTTCCTTTTACGTGACATTTTGTCACCAGAAAGTTAAGCATAAGGAGAAAGTCAGTAGATGGATGAAAAGATCCAACAGTTCAGAAGAGGAATCATTTGAGTGGTCAGGGCAAATGACAGCCTTTGCCACCAGATTTGAGAGAAATAGGAAGAAGTGTTAAAAAAAATCTGTTTCACATTGAAATTTGAGAGGCCATCGCATGATTTTTTTTTTTTTTTTTTTTAAGATGGAAAAATAATGGAAAACAAGAAAACTTTCTTAGGACAAATGGCACTGCCAATGTAATGCAACAGTGTCAGTGAACTGCAGATTAGATATGCCAAAAGTTAAACCAGTTCAAGAAAATTTACCTGAACTCAGAAGGAAAAGATAATACATAAAAACTGAGAGACAAAGATGGGAGACATGGAGAAGGGGTACCAAAAATTAATAATTAAATATGAGTTCCAGAAGGGGATAATAGAGCTGACAGCAGAAGAGCAATAATCAAATAGTAGAAGAAAATTTACTAAGTTGGTGGAACTTTTTGAATTCTCAGATTTAAAGGATTCATGAAATACCAGGTAAAAAGAAATGAAAAGAAAGACAACCATATTTAGGTCTGATTAACAATGAAAGGTGCTGAGTTTTTTTGTTTTTTGTTTTTTGTTGTTTGAGACGGAGTTTCACTCTTGTTGTCCAGGCTGGAGTGCAGTGGCACAATCTTGTCTCACCTCAACCTGCTTTGCTTCCTGGTTTCAAGTGATTCTCTTACCTCAGCCTCCCGAGTAGCTGGGATTACAGGCGCCCACCACCATGTCCGGCTAATTTTTTGTATTTTTAGTAGAGATGGGGTTTCACCATGTTGACCAGGCTGGTCTCGGACTCCTGACCTCAGGTAATCCACCCGCCTCAACCTCCTGAAGTGCTGGGATTACAGGCGTGAGCCACCGCGCCCAGCCCTGAATTCAGTTTCTAAAAGTAAAAATTCTACAGGTCGTTTTTACTGAGCACAAAGTAATAAAATTAGAAATGAATACCAAAAATTAAGCAAAAAATTCTAAGCATTTGGAATTTTTTTTAAAAACAACAATTTTAGGCCCGGACAAGTACCGTGGGCCATTACTTGGGACCTCGAAGATCTGCTAAGAGTAGTTATTACTATTCCCTTTTTTTTTTTTTTTTGAGGCAGAGTCTTGCTCTGTCACCCAGAATGGAATGCAGTGGCGCGATCTCGGCTCACTGCAACCTCCACCTGCTGGGTTCAAGCTATTCAAGCCGGTGCCTCACCTGTAATCCCAGCACTGTAGGAAGCCAAGGTGGGCAGATCACTGGAGGTCAGGAGTTCGAGACCAGCCTGGCCAACATGATGAAACCCCATCTCTACTAAAAATACAAAAACTAGCTGGACATGGTGGTGGGTGCCTGTAATCCCAGCTACTCGGGAGACCGAGGCAGGAGAATCACTTGAACCTAAGAAGCAGAGGTTGCAGTGAGCCAAGATCACACCACTGCACTCCAGCCTGGCGACAGAGTGAGACTCCATCTCAAAAAAAAAAAAAAAATTTGGCCGGGTGTGATGGCTCACACCTGTAATCCCAGCACTTTAGGAGCCTGAGGCAGGTGGATCACCTGAGGTCAGGAGTTTGAGACCAGCCCGACCAACATGGTGAAACCCCATCCCTACTAAATAGAAAACATTAGCCAGGTGTAGTGGTACATGCCTATAATCCCAGCTACTTGGGAGGCTGAGGCAGGAGAATCGCTTGAATCCGGGAGGTGGAGGTTGCAGTGAGCCCTGATTGCGCCATTGCACTCCAGCCTGGGCGACCAGAGCGAAACTCCATCTCAAAATAATAATAATAATAATTTGTAGAGTCAGGGTTTCCCTGTGTTGCCCAGGCTGGTCTCAAACTCCTTGCCTCTGGCAATCTTCCCACCTTGCCCTTCCAAAGTGTTGGGAATACAGGTGTGAGCCACCATGCCTGGCCCAGGATTTATTCTTCACACCTCTCTCCCCCATTCAATCCACTATCAGGATGTGTCTCTTCTGTTCCTGGAATGAACATGTATGGAATCATCTCCCCAGCATTCTCCCCTTTATTTTCACTTGGAAAATGCCCCTTACTCCCACTCAAAAAAACTTTTTCTTTTCTTTGTTTTCTTTCCTCCATCACTCCTTTATTTTGCTATTTTCCCCTCAGGTGCAGAGAATTGAGCCAGTCATACTCATTTATCCACACTGTCATTAACAAGGCCTTTTTCATTTTATCTTTTTTCTCTTCATTCCAGTTTCCACTCATGTTCTTTCTCTCCCTCCTTAGGTAGTCACTCCAATGTGTTTGATATATGTCTTTGAATATACATGTATCTTTCAGTAATATGTAATGTTATTTTATGTATGTATGTGTTTTAAATGTACCTAACTGATACTGTGTTATAGATCTCATTCTGTTTCTTTTTCATGTTTATGTAAATACTTCTGACTATTGCATACTGTTGTCTTAAATGACCTCATACCCTGGCCACTGGTGCTGGGCCAAGATGGGCCAGAGTCCTTACCCAGAATTTTTTGAACTGAAACTGAGAAAGAAAATTTGCCTCCAGTGTGGAAGCCATAAAATGTAAAACATACAAGCTGTCAGCAGCCATGTGTCAGTTGGTTCCATATGGAACCAACTCGCCTGCAGTGAAAAAGAAGCCGACATGCAGAAAGCAGCAGAAGTGAGAGACTAAGAGTCTGGGAAACTCTCAAATCTCTGGTTCCAGTTGTTCCTGAAGCTTCATATTCCTCCCATTACCATGGTTTATTCAACTCTTCATGGATTCCATGAGCTAGTAAATCTCAACACCTTCACCTTGTGCCTACTAAGGTAGTTCAGATTAAGGTTCTATCACTTGCAACTAAGAGGACTAACTATTTACAACCTCCAAAACATATCTCATTTTTGATAGTGGGTGTTTTGTATTTTGGGTTTTGTTGTTGTTATTGAGAGACAGGGTCTACATGTAGGAATGGAGTTGCTAGATCATAGGATGATTCAATGTTCAATTTTTTGAGGAAGTACCATACTGTTTATCATAGAATTACCACTGCAGGCGCCTGCCACGTGCACAGCTAATTTTTGTATGTTTGGTAGAGACAGGGTTTCAACATGTTG